CTTGCTTAAAACCAATGCAGAATGATTGTGGTGAAATTTTAGAGTTTCCAGAGGAGAGATTGTTTACATTTGGCGCAGCGGCGCCAGCGAGGGAGAGGAAAAGAGATGGAGGAGAAAGCAGGCAGAGGCCTTCACTGTATTGCCACGTGCCTGGTTTTCAAATTAGACATTCCAAAGTCTTCCATCAGGGTGGTTTGGTGTATCCGTCTAGGCAGTTTTCCACTGCTTGGAAAAGACACAAAAGCTTTTGTTCATCATGAAAGAATTTTCTCATTCCCACCTACAGTAATTGCCAAGAATGAAATCTGTTACAGTCATTCCAGAGAAGAATGATTGCCTTTCTTTGCCTAACGCCACGTAGTAGATTCAGGGCCAGCTTGAGCCGTTGCAGAGTCCCCAGCTTCCGGTGGGGGGCAGCGATGCTGTGGTTTAAGAGTTTCCTTTTAGCTCAGTTCTGTCTGGGGATGGTCCAGGGTGCTCCAGCCACCATAAAGAACTGTGTGCTTTTGAACAGGGCCATACACCTCCCTTGCTTTTCAGATGTGAAATCCGAAACCCACATAGAAGGGATTTGCTCTGTGTCCGGCACACCGCCGGTTAGTGGTAGAACTGGAACTTGAACCCGGATCTCCTCACTTTGGTGGGAAAACTGAACGGAATCCGACCTCACTGAGGAACGTTGAAGGATGCAGCTAATCATATGTGCTAGATAAACCGTCAGGGGAAACCGGAGGAGGACCCGATAAAGAACTGGGGAGAACAAAACGTCAAAGTAAGCCTGATCATTATGGAAAAGAGTAGGTCAGAGTAACTACCGTCAAGGCCACTACTAATGTAAATTGAATATCTGCTGCTTACCAAACGTTGGATGATGTAACACAACTGTAGCTTTCATTCCATATAAATAGAGCTGAAAATCCACTACAGCTTTTGGAGCCACTGGCTAGCTCCAAAGGGTGTGCATTCAGGGTATTCGCTCTTTTCAACAGTACAATCAGCTCATTCTATACCTAGGAATCCATGGGCTCCTTTGGGTCTCAACTTTTTTTTCCTTCTCCTCCAGCACGTCCTGGCCAGTTCATTGCCCTGCGGACGGCCTTTTCACTAATTGCCTGTTTTCTGTTAAGGACCTGTGAGATTTTTCAGGTAAATGAGGGAGGGCTTCCATGGAAAGAAAACATAACCAAACATATCTTGCCCCACTTTCCCAGCCTGTAGCATTCTCTCAGTCCCATCATCTGTGAGTTGGGAATAATATTTCTGGTTTTTCGGGTGCCAACTACCCCTTGCTGGATACTGGGGAGTCCTCACTCATGCAAGAATTTTTGGACATTGGGACAAAAGACATAGGCACTCACATGTGTTGTGGTAGGGTGAAAAAACAGCTCCTTGAGACATTGGGTCCTCCACGATCCCTGGAACCTGTGTTGCCTTATTGGAAGAAAAGGTCTTTAGCGATGGGAGGAAGTGAAAGATCTTGAGATGAAGACACTTTCCTGGATTATCTGGGTGGGCTCTCATTGCAGTCACGTGTATCCTCATAAGAGGGACACAGAGAGAAGGTGATATGAAGATGGACCAGAGAGAGATTTGAAGGCGCTGTTTTTGAGGATTGGAGAGATGTGGCCATGAGCCAAGGAATGCCAGCAACTGCCAGAGACGGAAAGGGGCTAAGAACAGAGTGCTCTCTGGAGGCTTCGGAGGCAGTGTGGTCCTGCTGACACCTTAATTTCAGACAATTTCAGACAAGTGAAACTGACTCCGGACTCCAGACTCCAGAACTGTGAGAACAGACATTTCTGTTGTTTACACCACTGAGTTTCTGGTACTTTGTTAGAGCAGCCGCGAGAAAGTAGTACAGTTGATTAGTCACACGATAACCTGCACAAGGATTCCCCAAGGAGAAGAGCTTACGTTCCTTTTTGTGGGGAACAACAGCATTGGGTGCTTGTTGTCGTGAGGGGTGGAGATGGGGTGGGGGTTCGTGCATGGACGTGGGGCCGTTCATGGTTGGAAATTCCCAGTGGTGCCCAAGGACAGAGCACCTGACTGGTGCAGACATGGGGCAGAAAGGAAAAGAGGAGGGATGGGGCTTGAAAGCTCTCAGCTGCCCCCAAATCAAAATGTAGTTAGAGGCTTCATTTCCACTGACCATAAGGTTGTTGTGTGTCAAGTTAAAAGAGTAAAGCCTTTAGAACAGGGCTCGGGGAACAGTGCTCAGCACAGATGAGTTGCTAATAAACATTACCCATTATTACTTTTTACCATTTTGAAATCACTTCCCTTTTCAGTTTCCCAAGCCAGTACTGGAGTCCTCACAAGTCTGGTTCTGAAACTCCCCATTCCCGCTACACTTCCTCTCCAGGGTGATTGCATCAGTCCCTATGGCTTTCGGTGATACGCAAATTGACCTCTGCCAAGGACCTGTCCCCAAGCTCCAGTCTGCAAGATTGGATTCCCTACTCACCATCTCTCCACGGAGCCCTGACCAGCATCTCAGGCTCCACGGGTCTCCTAAACTGACCCCGGGGTCTTTCCCTGCAAAGCCCCTGCCCTCCAGGCTCCCCACCTGATGCAGTCACACTGCCACCCTTCCTGTTGTTCCAGCCAGGAACCTGGAAGTTACCCGTGGCGCCCTGCAACCACTCCAGCCATCCCCAAGCTCAGCTGATTCCATCTCCTCTCCATCCCTACCAGCTACTCCATTTCAGCCCCTTAAAGGGCACCGGGCCTGGAAACTCTATCTGAAGTCCCCAAGGAGACCTGCACACCAACTCACATCTCGATGTAAGTGGTCCTGGCTGTATTTTAGAATCACTTGGCTTTGTTCTTTAAATTATTAGGCCCTGCCCCAGACAGAGATGGTCAGAATCTCTAGGGTGGGGCTCAGACATCAGAAACTTTTAATCTTAGGTGATTCCAAATGCAGCCAAGGTGGAGGACCACTGTGTTAGACTTGAGGTGAGAAGCTGGACCCTGATGCCAGAGCAAATAAACAGAGGAGATGGTGGGCTTCAGCTCTGGGTTAGTACCACACACTTTCCCAGCAGCCAGCAGTTTTGGCTGCGGTGGCCCAACAGTAAACAAACACCCTTTTTCTTTTCTTTCTTTCTTTCTTTTTTAAATTTCGCTAGTGTTTTATTTTTTTTTAATCTTTTAAAATTGTGGTTAAAAAACACAAAACATTAAATTGGCCACCAATCATTTTTAAGTGTATAGTTCAGTTGTATTAACAATATCATATTGTTGTGTAGCAGATTTCTAGAATGTTTTCATCTTGCACAATTGAAATCCTACGCCTATCGAATAGCAAGTCCCCCTTCTACCCTCCCCACATCCCCTGGTAACCACCATTCTACTTTCTGTCGCTACGATTTTGACAACTCTAAGTACCTCCCAGACGTGGAATCCCACAGTATTTATCTTTTTGTGCCTGGCTTATTTCACTTAGTGTAATGTCCTCAGGGTTTCATGTTGTAGAATGGTTCAGAATTTCCTTCCTTTGTAAGGCTGAGTAATATTCTGTTGTTAGGTATTCTGACGGTCAACCAGTTGTCCAAAGTAGTTCTAACAGTTTACACTCCCTCCAGCAGAATATGAGAGTTACAGTTGCCATGGAGATATTCTCAAGGGGGTTAAGGTCAGTGAGTTCTCTATGGTAAATATAAAATGTTCTGTTTAGATTTAAAGAACATTTGTGTACAAGTTTTTGTGTGGACATTGTAGTTTTCATTTCTCATGGACATATGCCTAGGAGCAGAATTCCAGGGTCAGGTGGTAACTCTATGTTTAGCTTTTTGGGGACTGCCAGACTGTTTTTCCAACCGCTGCACCATTTTACGTTCCCACAGGCAGGGCATGAAGGTTCCAGTTTTCTACAACCTCACCAATACATGTTATTATCTTACTTTTTAATTATTTCTATCCTAGTGGGTGTGAAGTGATCTCTCATTTTGGTTTTGATTTGCATTTCTCTGATGGCTAATAAGGTTGAATATCTTTTTATATGCTTATTGACCCTTTGTATATCTTCTTTGGACAAGTGTCTTTCAGGTCTTTTGACCACTTTAAATTGGGTTGTCTTTTTATTGTTGAGTTGAAAGAGTTCTTTTATATATTCTGGATAAATTTCCCTTATGGATTTATGATGTACAAAATTTTTCTCCTGTTCTATGCATCCACTTCTGTCTCTTCACTTTCTTTTTTTTTTTTTTTGAGAGACAGAGAGAGAGAGAGAGAGAAAACACATAAGGGAGAGGGGCAGAGAGAGAGGGAGAGAGAGAGAACCTCAAGCAGATGCCGGTGGACATCCAGTTGTCAAAGCACCATTTGTTGAAATAACTATTATTTCCCATTGAATGTTCTTGGCACTTTTCTCAAAAACAAAGGTGTCTTTAGCTATATGGGCTTATTTCTGGGTTCTCACTTCTGTTGCATTGATCTGTGGGTCTATCCTAATGCCAGGACCACACTGTTTTGACTGCTGATAAAGGCAGTAATTTCATACTGTAGAATAGAAGACTGAGGAGATCTACAAAGACAGTGGGAAAAAAAGATGGGTGGGGTGGGACAGTTTCCTGGTAGTAGCCAAGAAGTGAATGGCCTTCAAGGTGCATAAGAGAAAACTGTTGAAAAGAAGTGGGGTGATGAGCACCTCCATAGAAAAATACAGTCACATTATCTTGGAAGCATTTTAGGTAAGACATCCAAAATATTAGGCAATGCTGAAAGATGGGAGAGAAGAGAATGAAACAAGGAATGAGAGTGGCTATAGGGCAGCACTTGGAGGAAACACCTTCTGCCTGCCAAGTGTGCAGATGATGAGAAACGTTGGCGGGTCAGTTCAGGAAACTCTTGAAGGGGTTGTTGAGAAAATGCCCACTCTCTCCAATCAGAGCATGTTGGTTTACCCAGCACCCCCACCCCCCAGGGAGGAGCCAAGAGTGGTGCTTTGTGATGTCTAAGCTACCACCCACCTGCCCATATCCCCTAGCTGAACAAACAAAGCCAAAGGGTGTGGCTCCTCATTGTACTGGTAAGGGGTATTTTACAGTCTGGTCAGGAGCTCTGGAGAAGACCACCTGGAGGCTTCAACATGGCTAAAGTTACTAGGAAGCCAGAGAAAGCTGGCGCAGTTATGGAACAACCAACCCCAAGCACAAAACCACCCCAAGCACAAAAAGAAAGAAGAGGACGAGCCAGTGTCGACCCAGATCCGTAGATAGTGGCAAGGTGAGACCACCTCACTCAGGTTCCTTCTCTTCTTTCCCATTGATTCCCCTCCCCCAAGACTCCCACCCTTTCCTTCCCTGGCATAAAACCCCTCATTAGCCTTTGCCCCTCCTCATGAATCCTTCCTTTCCATTCAGTCCCCCATCGTCTTCCAACCTATTGCCCTTCTGGAATCACCCTGTTTGCCCTTCCAGGTGAAGAAGATGCAGAGGGGAATGAAAAGACTGCTTCATACAAGTTCGAGAAAAAAATCCTCTCGTTCTAGTACAACAAGTCCAAGAAAGGTGAAGAGAGTGAAAAAGGCCAAGAAATTTCGGCCTTTAGCAAAGAGTGAATAGTAGCCTAAGTCCAAGGCACTAAGGCCAGGGCTGGAAAGACCCTACAATGGCATATCACCATCCTACAAGATATGACACCATCCTGGAACAGAGATGGTATTGATTAAAATGAAATCAACAACTTTTGAGAAGCCCCTTATTCCAGGAGGTGTGTGTGTGTGTGTGTGTGTGTGTGCGCGTGCACGCGCACACACACAGGTTCTCTGATCATGAAGAACTAGGGAAAGAAGGGAAGAGACAGGTTGTGAGAAGGGAGAAGGAGAGGTTCTGGACAGTTGGGGGCTACAGTGACAGGTCCACCGTTGGCCAGACATTATTGATAAAGTGTGGTTGAGGACTGAACATTGAAGACAAGCTTCCATTCTTAACATTTACCCCATAGACGAGAAGGAAAAAGTGCTTGGTGTGTGCGTGTGTGTGTGTGTGTGTGTGCGCGCGTGTGCGTGTGTGTATGTGTGTGTGTGTGAGAGAGAGAGAGACAACATCCATGTTTAGATTGCCAGAACCTGAATGGGGAGAGGTGTGAGGGGTGTTGGGTAAAAGGGTCACCCCCTAATAAAAAGTAGACAAAGAAACTACCTTTAGGCCACCTACTTCATAGCAGTGTTTGATTTCCCCCACAGTATGCAGGAAACAATAAATGCTCTCAGAAGAACCCTAAATGCATCCTAATAAAAGTTATTGACAGCACTCCCAAGGACTAAAATGGTGTTTAGATGCCACCAACCCAACACAAATGAGGTCCCTTTCTTGCTAAGAAAATTTGGGTTGGAGCAGTGTCCTGTCAGGTTAAGGAAACCTTTGTCCAATCATTAGCTGACCCTTAAGCTAAAAGAAGAGGTACTTTAGTGGCTACACACAACAAAGAATAAAAACTTTACGGAGTTCGTTCAGCAAAGTCACCAAACCACCAAACAACAACGTATCCCAATAAGTGGATATCCACATTCAATGAAGGAAATTCAACCCCTCCCTCATACCATATGTAAAAAATAAATCAAAGACCTAAATATAAGAGCTAAAACTATTTAACTCTTAGAAGAAAACATAGAGGTAGATTTTCATGACCTTGGACTAGGCAATGGTTTCTTTTATATGACACCAAAAGCACAAGCAACCAAAGGAAAAAAAAATAGATAAATTAGATGTCATCATGATTAAAATCTCTGGTTAATTGTAATTAAAATCTTTGGAGAAAATATTTGCAAGTCATATGTCTGATAAGGATCTAGTATTCAGAATATACAAATGACTTTTTAAACTCAAAAAGAAAAGATACGTCAATTAAGAAATGGCTAAAGAGGGATGCCTGGGTGGCTCAGTCGGTTAAGCATCTGCCTTCGGCTCAGGTCGTGATCCCAGGGTCCTGGGATCGAGCCCTGCCGTGGGCTCCCTGCTCGGCGGAGAGCCTGCTTCTCCCTCTCCCTCTCCTGCTCCCCCTGTTTGTTCTCTCTCTCTGTCAAATAAATAAATAAAATCTTTAAAAAAAGAAATGGGTAAAGGATTTGAATAGCTATTTCTCCAAAAACATACAAAAAGGACAGTGAACTCATGAAAAGATGCTCAAGATCACTAAGCATCAGGGAAATGAAAATCAAAACCGCAGTTAGGTACCATTTCTAGACATTTCTAAACACAATTAGACACCCACTAGGATGGCTGTAACTTTTTTTTTTTTTAAATGGAAAATAACAACTGCTGGTAAGGATATAGAGAAGTTGGAACCCTCAAGCATTGCTCTATGTAATGTAAGATGGTGCAGCCAAGGTGAAAACTAGTTTGGCTTTTCCTCAAAATGTTACATATACGGTGGCTATATGACCCAGCAAATCCAGTCCTCTGTATCTGAGAGAATGGAAAACATATGGCCACCCAAAGACTTGTACACAAGTGTCCATAGCGGCATTAGTCATAATAGTCAAAAAGTAAAAACAACCCAAACATCCATCAATTGAAGAACAAATAAACAAAATGTGATCCGTCCATACAATGGAATATTATTCAGCCATTAAAAGCAGTGATGTACTCCTCCATGTGACAACATGGATGACCCTTGAAGACACGATGCTAAGTGAAAGAAGCCAGACAAAAAGACCACATACTATATGAATTCATTCATATTATATGTCCAGAAAAGGGAATCCTTCACAGGCAGAAAGTAGATTAGTGTTGCTTAGAACTGGAGTCGGGGAGGGATGAAAGAGGGTGGAGGGGGTGACAGCTAAAGGGTACAGGGTTTCTTTTTGAGGCGATGAAAATGTTTTAAAACCAACTGGGGTGATGGTCGCCTGGATCTGAATATGTTAAAAACCATTGAATTGTCCACTTTAAAAAGGTGAATTTTATGGTCTGTGAATTACATCTCAAGAAAGCTGTTAAAAAATCAACAGGAACCCTCAGTTTGTTTCCTATATGGTGGCTGGAGGGGAGGTGGGGGGGGATGGGGTAACTGGGTGGTGGGCATTAAGGAGGGCACGTGATGGAGTGAGCACTGGGTGTTATATGCAACTGATGGATCACTAAACTCTACCTCTGAAACTAATAATACACTATATGTTAATTGAATTTAAATATAAAATAAAATAAAAAATCAGTAGGAAAAAATCTTTGGCAAGAGTATACTCTATTGATTTAGAGTCTTGTGCCAAGGTTCTGGTACATCTAGACCGACAGTCCCACTGGACTGTTTCCAATGGGGAAAGAAGGCGTTTCCAACAAGGAAATTGGGGTGCTATTACCAAAAGATGGAGGGATGGATGCTTAAACCCCTCCCAAGAATTATAATTTTACTTGCAGTAAAATCCTAACATATTACCATGGACTGCCAGGCCCTAGATGACCCGTTACCGCCTGCCTCCCCAATGTCACTCTTCCTTTTCCTCCGTCTCCTCCTTGCTGTTCCTCAGACAGCCTAAGCTTGTTCCTGCTTCGGGGCATTTTTATCAGTTGTTTCCTCTGCCTGCACTGCTTTTCCTCCAGGTCTTTGCAGGGCTTCCTCCTTCTCATCATTAAGTTCTCAGCTCAAAGGTTATCTCAAGAGATGCTTTCTCTGACCACCCTCCCTCCAGTTGCTACTTTGTCTTCATAGTCATTTGTCATTATTTGATGACATTTCTATTATGCTTCTGTGTTTACTTCTGTCTACCTTTCTCCCTTGATAGAATGTAAATCTCATGAGATCAGCGACCATGTTTGTTCCATCCGTCATGGTAGTCCCAACATCCAGCATGGGGTTTAGCACATGGTACAGTCTCAGGAAGCGTTTGTTAAATGCACAAGTAATTTAAAAACCCCAAAGTTACTGAAATGAACTTTCTACACCATACGCTATCACCTTTTTTGGACATGGGCAATGGAAGGGAAGATGGGTGGTGAACAGAACCCCAAGGAGAGGAAGGATTAAGACGTTCAGAGCTTGATCATAATTGTTGTATGGAGTGATAGTACCAGAATTTCCCGAAATCCATAAAGAAGAGAAATCGGTGCTCTGAATGGGACCTAGACAGCCATTCTCTGGGATGCTGTAGCCCACCACCTTCTCTCCCTCTTTATTTTCACGCTGTCAGGTATCATCCTCTGTCTCTGTCTCATTAAGGTCCTGGCAGCTATATGTTTCTTTGTTCCTGAAAGCACCCATCCACATCACTCTGCCTGGGTCAACTCTAATTCCTCTCCCTCTTCAAAATCTTTCCAGTTCGTGTTGCCGGGTATCAGCATGCCCCCAAACTTGTTTGCCATCCCTCTCTTGGAGGCATCTGTCTTCTGTAAGCTTCTACCGCAACAGAGTCCGAGTGTCTAGGGCAGTCTTTGAAATGGTTACTTGTGCACGTCTCAGAGACTCCAGCCAAGCTGAGAAAGGCAATACAAGAAGGTGTGTGACAGATGACAGATTGCTGCTGCTGAGTTGGTCCTGAGTCCCTGGCCAGCCCTTGGTGCTGAGTGAATGAGTATCATATGTCCCACCTGCACCAAGGGAATTGCAACACAGAAGCGCACCAATTCATGGCCAGTCCAGAGCTGAATGTCTCCCTGCATTGCACTGCTTTGCTATCAGCAGCTTGCTCATGCATGAATAAACAGAGTTGCTGGCTCCGCTCAAACCAGGCAGCTCATTGTGAAGGTGGGAATGTGCTGGGGCTGTCTGTCTATTCTGGGAGGGACTTCAGGCCATCCACACAACTAGAGGAATGACTACTAAGCAATGGTCTTGGTGTTTATAACCATTTAAAGGCACATTGCCTTTTTTTCATTCATTGTTTTATTACATTTACAACTTTTACCCACATACTGTTTTATTACGTAATTGTGGCCTTGCTATGAATATATATTTTTATTCTGCTTTTTTAATATTGTTACATAGGCATTTTCTATTACATATAATTTGTCAACCTATCGTCAAGGTTGTATAATATTCCATCTAGCATAGTGGTTTTCAACCAGGGGCAATGTTGTTGCCCAGGGGATATTTGACAATGTTACAGAGACATTTTTTTAATGGAGGTATAATTGACATATAACATTCTATTACTTTCAGGCATATAGCATAATGATCAATATTTGTATATATTGCAAAATGATCTCCACAGTAAGTCTAGTTACCATCCATCACCACACAAAATTACCAAAAAATTCTTTTCTTTTTTCTTGTTGTTGTGATGAAGACTTTTAAGTTTTACTCACCTAGCAATTTTCAAATATGCAATACAGTTTTATTAACTATAGTCACCATACTGTACATTACATCCCTAGGACTTACTTATTTTATAACTGGAAGTTTGTATGTTTTGAAATGGGTGAAGAGAGTCAAAAGGTACAAACTTACAGTTCTAAAATAAAGGAACATTGCTTTTGGATGCAACCCGTGAGGAGAGCCTGGAGCCAGGAGGTCCTTACCCCAAAATAGGCTTCCCCCTGTCCCAGCCACTGGGACTTGGAGACCCAGAGACAGCCCTGTTAAACCTTAGGTGTACAGATGAGATTGTGGGAACGTAGGTTGAAATCTGATCTGGGAAGAGAAGACAGGAAAGTGGAGGTAAATAGTAGCCCAGGTTTGCAAGGCCCAACACCGAGTCATTCCCTCTGAGGTTGCCCCCCCCCCCCGCCCCGCCTTGATGGAAATGAATTA